TTTCTCACTTTTTTGCCGTTAATTAACAACTCAACTTGATATTTACTAATAAAACTGATAAATATGAAAATGGGAAGTCAGGGACTAAAAAACCCTTGAATATAATTTTTTATTAAAATTCACTCATTTCTTAATTTTTATGTCCGCCGTATTGGATCCGCCATTCTGAATTTTGAAATTCTCACTTTACATTCGTAATCAGCGACCACGAAAACCCCCAGATACCAATTTGCAGGAAAATTCAATAGTTTTATCAAATTTCAGCCATATTGGATCCACCATCTTGAATTTTTGAAAATCGACTTTAAAATCGTAATCAGCGACCCCGAAAACCCCTAGATACCAATTTACAGGAAAATTTACAGGAATTTCCATTGACAATGTCAACTTGACCTTGAACTGACCTTCAAGGGCATGGTCAAGGTCATGATCAAAGTCACAGCCGGACGTAAAATTTTCCGCTGTTTCCATTCCTGTGGTCAAAAATATGTGTTCCTATTTAAAAAAGTAAATTTGACCTTGAAATGACATTCAAGGTCACGGTCAAGGTCACATCTCAGGTCACGATTGAATAGCCAGGAAAAAAATCTAAGACTTTTGACTGAAACTTTTTTCCCCAAAGTGCATTCCTCCACAGTTATTTGGCCGTTTCCATACTTTTGGATCACCCTGTATGTAACTATATATATATATTATTATTACATATATATAATATATACACATAATGATACCATTCTAGCAAAATTTAATGAAAATGAAGGAATCGTGGTAGCGTGTTCGTTTGATAAAATTTATTAAATCTTCTATAAATTAATTGGCCCTGAAAAGGACCGTTTTTATGTTTTACAATTTATGTGGCCCTGAAAAGGACCGTTTGTAAACAAAATCTATATTAGTCTTTCTCTGTAAGAAATTGACGGTTTAGTCTTAGTAAGTCTCTTCAGTCCCCAAAGTCTTCTTCGTGTTAAATCGAGGGAGTAGAATCCAGGAGGTGAGTCTGGTGGTGTGTAGCCTGTTTGTGATCCTGGTGGTGTGGATATTTCCTTCTGCGATGCGAAGTCGCTCTGCGTTTCTCGATGGGCTACCTCAGGTCGGCTCAGCGTTCCTCGGTGAACTCTCGGAACAGGCTGGGTCTGCGTTGCCTTTGTAGAGAAGTCACTCGGAGATCTAGGTAGCGGAGACAGGAGCTGCGGCGGTACTGGATAGCGGGAAGACAGAGGTCTCCTAACCCTCGGGTCGTTTGTGGCCAGGAGGAAGCTCGGAGGTCTTGTGAAGACCGGCGAAGAAATCTCCACCTTAAGTAGCCGCCAAGTCACTGGAGGGGATGTTGATTCGCCCTATTGCTTGGTTGCCATTGAATACCTCGGTGCAACCTCTTGAATCTACGACGGCTCGCTGGATCTCGCTGAGGAAGATTTCTTCCACCAGGGAATGATCCGTGATCGACGAGAGACAGACTCCACGGTTACACCACAAAAAGGATAATGCTCTTGCGGTATATTGCAAGAGACAAAATCGAGCCATTGGCCATGCCTTTATATAGCCGTTCAGAGATTTTCGAAATACGAGAAAATTTGCCGAAATGCGCCTTCTATTAATTTCTTGAGAAATTAATTTTTTTCGAATCACTTCAAGTAGGTCTTGGAAACAAATGCATCCGCATGAAGTTTGCTCCGTTCGAGTTGTTCGAAATATGTATGTGGTGTCAAATAGACCGCCACAAAAATATACAATGTTGAAATAATAGATTAATACGGTAAGCATCGAAACATAGTCTATGAAGTAATGTTTACAATTTTTGATATTCGATATACTTTAATATTTTATTTTATAATAAAATGTACTTCTACAGGAGTGTCTACAATATACAAATGTAATTCAGTTGTACACACGGGGACATAAATGCCTACCCATCAGAAACACGTATCTTCAATATGTTCCGATACTAGATGGGTAGGCATTTATGTCCCCGTGTGTACAGTTTTAAAAAATAATTGAATAACATGATGTATATAAATAACAAAATTAATTGAAATTTAAAATTTCTGTTTGTATATATGGTTATTTTTTATATTTGATAATATGTTCCCAAGGAAATAGCAATCCTGGTGGTGTATGCATGGTCAAGTTTCTCTTCTGAAAGAATAAGACAAAAAATTGCCAGTTAATGTAAATAACATAGCAAGTTATAAAAAAACACATTACATATCACTTAACTTACAAAAACATTTTATTCTCAAACATAAAATATAAAAAAGTTTTCATTCTTTGTCGTACAATATCAAAATGTAAATATTTGAAATATAAGAAATAAATGCATGAAATAACGTGAATAGAAGATTAATGTATGAAATACATGAACAATGTAATGCATAAAATAAAACAATACATATCTTAACTATCAGTCAGTTTCAAATACAAGAAATAAATACATTTAATAACGTGAGTAGAAGATTAATGTATGAAATACATGAACAATGTAATGCATAAAATAAAACAATACATATCTTAACTATCAGTCAATTTCAAATACAAGAAATAAATACATTTAATAACGTGAGCAGAAGATTAATGTATAAAAAGTGATAAACAATAGAGTAATGCATAAAATAGAACAATACATATCTTAACTATCAATCAATAACACCTTACGATGTACGGAATTTTTGCAATGTACCTATTAATTGACATTATAATGCATGACCATTGTTTTGCTACTAAATTCTTTCTGCTTTTTTGGGGTAATTTTCTTTCGCGTTATTTTCAATTTAAAAATAACAAATCGACTCACGATTTTTCGTTTTAAATTATGGCAATCTGGTATTGTGTAAGGCAAAGCTTCAAATTTTTCAGTTAAATACTTTTTCAAATCAATGTTGCGTTTAAATAAATCCGTTTTTTCATAAGCTTTAAACATTTCTTTCATTTGTCTAAAAAATTCAAACATTGACTCATTTACAAAAAATAAAGTTTCTTTATTGTAACACCGTAACGCCGTTAATCTGTTATGGTGAGCAAAATAAGATTTTTTATTTCCAACACATGAGAAACAGCGATTGCAAGTTTTCTGCATTTTCATAATGCTGGTAAGAATATATCCAGCAAGATGGTGTAAAATATTCAATTGTTCTTTGTTCATGGTATCTTTTGTCTGTATAACGTACTCCCCAACTGATTTTGTCCGATACATTTTTTTTAATCGTTTGATGGTTGTTAAAAAATCGGTTAAAAACTCACGATCATCGCAGTTATAATTACTAATAGATACGTTTCTCATATACTGAGATATTTGTTGTTAACTTTAAGTTATTTTTAAATTGGACAGCATTTAGAACACAATGTTTACTACCCAGAACGGAAAAGAGATTTTCAACGCAGTCCTGCGTAAATCTGCCACCTAGTACGTAATCGTAATGTTTTTCCGTTAATAAGTATTCAGTCACATCTATTAATGATTGAGTAGTTAAAATCATTCCTTTTTGAAATGGCTTCCAATAGCCTGTAACCGAAACTGAGTTGTCTGATTAAATTTATAAATTCCCTTAGAAAATTGATAGTTTCATTATATTTATCCAAATTGTGTCGACTAAGAGCAAGTATACTATTCCGTGTACTAACAATATCAAACCATTTACAAATTTGTTTCACCAGCCACGAAGTTGTCAGATATTCAGGTTTCGATTCCTTAGTTGTCAAAAATTGTAAGGAAGTATAAACTGCGTGACTCAGAACGTGACAGGAACTTTTAACCGTCATTTTTAGAAAATGTTTCGATTTGTCGAGGTATTCTGGTAACAATTTCGGTGCCAAATGTAATGAAGCGTTTTTTTGACGGTCTGATAATTCAGTGAAATGTGCTGAAAGTGCTGTATTCGTTGGTAAATTATACTTTTCTACGTAATATTTAGGAATCGTTGTGTACTTATGATTAAGCATTCCTTCCTTAAAGTTTTTTAGCGCGTGTGAGCTATCGTGAAAAAAAAATAGATTCCGAGTTTCATCATTCGGATGTACACATTTATTTTTTTTCAAAATGACGTGAGACATTGATGTTAAATTCTCTCCACATGCCTTGATTGGCTGAACCCATATCAGAAACAATCCCATGAACATGCAATCATATTTTCTCTGCTTCCTGAATCATTTCCAGAATTATATCTTTATACACGGAACCGTTTGTTTTAACTGTAAAATAATATGCCGCAGTTTGTTTCCACCTGTGCCCTATGCTTGCTAGCATGAAAACTAAGGCATGCGTCGCAATGTCGTTATTATTATGTCTGGGTAAAGTTACGTGCCCTACATATGTATTAATGGATATGTCCAAAACAGTACCTGCTGATATACTTATTTCGTCAAGCACAAGTAAACAATCCCTATCTCTATCGTTTTTCAATTGCGAAACTTTAATGTTTAAAAATTCGAAAACTTCATGCAAAATTCCGCTCTGAAATGTTAAATTTTCGAATTTTCGATTGAGGGTTCGCAATGAAGGAAGAGGAAAACCATGCTTTAGTAGTTCTTTGTAGCCAGATAATCCGCATGCAAACTTTAATTGATAAGCTTTAACTAAAGTAGAATCACTCCATTTTGGCATTCTTTTATATCCACAACCCAACTTTTTCATTTGGTCAACATTCAATAGATTTTTTAATGCATTAGAAACATGTTTTTGAATACCAACTTCTTCTTGCAATTTTTCAATTTTTTTCCTGTATCCTCTTTGCAGACGTTTGTGCTTCTTCTTCATTGCAAACCTTAACCTTTCTGACTGTTGTAACTGTTTTTGCAGTCGTTCAATGATTCTGGAATTGTTTGAAGTAGTCGACCCATGTTCAATTTGACCCTCAGTAGTTTTATCCATTACAATGGCCGGTATTCATAGTCAGATCTTATATTCAAGACCGTCTTAAGTACAGTCTTAAGAAGTCACGAACCAATCAGAGGGCTGCATTAGCGTCTTAAGACATTACTTAAGACGGTCTTGAAATAAGAACCGACTATGAATACCGGCCAATGTGACTCTTTTCGTGTAAAATTTTGTTCCTGGTAGCATCTGGACCATAATTTTCAGTTTCTGTGTTGAGCGTTGTCTGTTCTCTGTCGGAAACATTTGCTGCTGGACTTCTTGTAATTTCTAATTCATTTTGTATTATCTTCACTTCTTTATTTACCGATACGGTAAGTATCGATATACTTTCTTCTTCAATTTCGGTAGACACTGTTGACACTGAAAAGAATAATATTTTACACAACTCTGTTAGGAATTAGTTCTAATTACCTTTATATATCTGCATATTTTTATATTATTAAAATAGAGACATTACACTATATAAAAAAATTTATATAATTGCACTTAAAGAAACGAATTTTTTCTACTTGGGAAAAAATGTTCACAATCACATGATGCTGTCCTCGATTCCGTGAAATTTTTATTTTAAGGATTTTTTTATGTCTCCAAAACTATGAGTGTTATTCAGATGGCCTGTCTTAAATGCCTCAATTGTATATTAACAACACCTTTTCATTGCAAGCTTGTGAACGATTTATTTTACTTACCATTAGTGATTTTCTGATGCTTTTGCTGTATCACAAGTTCACCAAATATTGTTGGCTCCGCAGACGATTTTAATTTTTTGTTTGATCCATGATCCTCCCACATATCAGCTATAAAGTGAAACTGAAAAATAGAAGTGTTTAACTTAGCTTTTTTTTTATTCTATTACTGATCCGCAGTTATTGATTTCAGTAAATAATTTTTCAAATTATACTAAAGTAGGAAAAACATAATGTACCTTGCATAATGCAGCACAATAATTAAAGGTTTTATCTTCCATTCCACAATTTATCAGCCACGTACGTAATCGCTGTGGATCTCTTGGAAAATTACACATTTTCGAACCATTTCTATTTGAATTACTGCATCCTTTTGCAGCACACGTGACCATTGTAAAATATTTTGAATATACAATCAAGCATTTTAAGTGTTTCAAAATTTTATTTTTAGCAATTATGTGATGAAGTAAAAGTAAAAACTTACCACTTGACTTTACATGAATATAAACTTCACAAAAGTAAGGTTATATGTCACGTCTCATGTATGTCAGACAGACACTATAGACGACCAATCTATAGTCAACCGGAACTGATCGTAAAATCGCGGAACCAATCAGCGATAGGCACATGTATTGGCTTCACCCTCCTTATACCCACTCTAATCCGAACTAAAAATTTGAAAATTCAAAATGGTTGAATCAATATGGCGGATGGAATTCTTAAAGGTCTTTCGATTACAGCCAAATTTCGTATAAGGGGTTTTAGGGGTTGCTGATTTCGAATCCGGATTAAAAATTTGAAAATTCAAAATGACTGAATCAATATGGCGGAGGGAAATGTTAAGTCTTCCAATTTCAGCGAAATGAAGCATTAGAAGGTTTTCGAGGTCGCTAATGCCGAATCCGAACTTAGAATTTGAAAATTCAAAATGGATTTAGGGGTTGCTGGTCTCGAATCTGGATTAAAAATTTGAAAATTCAAAATGACTGAATCAATATGGCGGAGGCAAATGCTAAAAGTCTTCCAATTTCAACGAAATGAAACATTAGAAGGTTTTCGAGGTCGCTAATGTCGAATCCGAACTTAGAATTTGAAAATTCAAAATGGCTGAACCAATATGGCGGACGGAAATGCTAAAAGTCTTCCGATTTCAGGGAAATAAAGCATTAGAAAGTTTTCGGGGTTGTTGATGCTGAATCTGATTTTAGAATTTGAAAATTCAAAATGGCTGAACCAATATGGCGGACGGAAATGCTAAAAGTCTTCCGATTTCAGGGAAATAAAGCATTAGAAAGTTTTCGGGGTTGTTGATGCTGAATCTGATTTTAGAATTTGAAAATTCAAAATGGCTGAATCAATATTGCAGACGAAAGTGCTCAAAATTCTCAGATTGTAGTGAAATTTAGCAATTAAGGGTTTTCGGGGTCGTTAATTTCTGTTGAAATGTAGATTTTGGGGGTCACCGATTTCGAGGACAAATGTTCGGAAGTGAGAACCATACAAAAAAATAAATTTAAGCTTAACTAAAATAGGGACGAAAGAAGAATACAGCTTTTACAACCGTAAACAAAGAAAGGGTAATTTCAAATTGTATAGAATTGATTGATTTTAAAGTACATTGATTAGGTTTAAAAATAAAAAGAAAAAATAAATATTTTATACCTGTATTCAAAACTTGAATAAGTATGTAAAATAATATAAAGAATAAGAGTCAACGAGTGATAAATAAGAAAAGTTTATAAAAATCAAGATAAAATCAGGGTCATGTGAGGTCAGTGCGAGCGTAGCGCGCGCATGAAATGGACTAGTTCATGTTAAAAATAAAAGTACCTATTAGATACCTTTAAGGTACATTTAAAATACCTGTACCTGTACCTAGGTATTTTACTTTTTTAGTACCTGTACCTGTACTTCGGTACATTTTTTCTAGAGTACCTGTACCTGTACCTAGGTATTGAAAATAGAGTACCTTGCACAATACTGCTAATGATGATGATGGAGTAGGCGATTGCATCAATTGCTCGATATTCGCCCGTTTTTTGACAAATACCGTCCACATAACTTGAGGCAGGACGATGCGGTTGCCTCGGGTGTCGCCAATGGTAATTCCACGTAGGAAATAGATCCCGCAGCGATCCCATTCTCTAAAAACTTGTACGCTGTCGGTGTCAATGCGAATATTCTTCTCAAAATTGTACGAGAAGACGCGCTGTAATGAAGAAGAACAAACGAATGAATAATCCATAGAGAAAAATTTTTCACAAATACAATTGAAATACTTACTTGCGCGGTTCATGTTGAACGTAAGAAATAGCACTGGAGATCACTGCAAAACGAATCTGTCGGGACGACTGATGCAGTATCGTTGTACCGTTCTCTATTTTTAAATCTTGTCCCCTCCAACAATTTTGTAACAAAAGATTTTTTAGACACATCTGGTGATGACATCAATGTAATCTAATACTGCAAATTGCAGCGTCAGCAAATTTGCAAGTTTCAATGCAACTTTGTCAGCGTAATGCAAGAATTTCTTTCAAGGACATTCAACATGTTGCAATATGTTTCGCGATGACATCATCATTTTAACACGTGCAAAATGCACCCCTTACAATAAAAGATTTTAGACGTATCCGGTGATGACATCAATGTAATCTAATACAGCGAAAAATACTACATTTGCAAATATATAACTGCTTTGTCAGCGTAATATAAGAAATTTTTTCAAGGATATTCAACATGTTACGACATGTTTTGCGGTAACATCATCAATTTAACACGTGAGTAGCAAAGCAAGGTATGTTCTCGCTCATGGAGTACCCCGCGGGGTAAGGGGCCGGGGGGAAAACTAGGCGAGAGGGGTACTGTGGTGCGGGGGGGCAGCCAATGAGCGAGCTGCTTTAGCCTCCCACCACCTCTCGCGGTTTTCCTCCCCGGCCCCCGTCCCCGCGGGTGCAGGTGTGTGTGAGCTCGTGACGTCACGACGCGAGGAGCGACGTGACGAAGGTCCTGCGAGCTCGAGAGCGGAAGGATGACTGAGGGAGTTCGCGCGTTTTTTTCGCGCCAACGCCCGTTCGCCCTCCCTCCCCTCGACCCCCTCGCGTATTCAGAACCCCCTTAGCCGTATGCTCGATCTCGCTCCCCTCGACTCGCGTATCTAGAATCCCCTGTCCCGTATGCTCGATCTCGCTCGCACCAACGCTCGCGTATCTGGAATCCCTCATGTGCCGTATGTTCGATCTCGCTCGCGCCAACGCTCGCGTCGATGAATTGGATCGAGGATTTTTGGAAGGACACACCGCGACATGTCACGACACGTTTCGCGGGTGACGTCATCGGTTGCGTTCGATTGTACCACACACACTTTTACTGTCGTGTTTTGTCAGAGTGTTAGTGCAATAAAAAAAGATATATTTAAAACAGGAATGATTTCCTTTGTGTTTTGTCAGAGTGTTAGTGCAATAAAAAAATATATTTAAAACAGGAATGATTTCCTTTATGTTTAGTATGTGCTTTAAGAAAAAAAGAAATATTAAAAAATAGGAATAATTGTTACACAGTTTTTCCTGGGTAAATAAAAGTAAATAAATAAAAGTGTTTTATAATTAATAGAATAGTATGTACATCGAATGGTGTACATAATTAATGCTCTCCGAAAACCAGAGCGATCAACTCACAATCGAGGATGTTGTTGCGGTCGAAGGATTCGTCATCATACATCATTTCCAGCATGTTCGCAGATTTCGTGACAGTGGACGCGATAGCGAGAAGCCGTGAAAATTTTTTGTCAACGTTATCAGTCATTGCGGTTAAGGAGGAAATGAGACGATTCACATAGTATTCAAGGTTAAATATATTAAGTACAGTGCTTTTCGACATGGATAGACGAGCTGTACTTGTTTCTAAGCGCAGTATTGGTAGATTATTGATTCGTCCGAAGCGTAACGTTAAATATACAATGGAGACGGCGTCGCGCGTATTCCTCTATTATTCTCATCGTACTGCAAAAGGGACAAAATGACGTGTTTTTGTTCGAGAAGCTCTCTCCAGATGTCCGGTGAAAGCGAAATCTCTTTACCGTGAGAATCTCCCAAAACGATAGTTACGTAAGAAGGGAGTTTGACATTAATACCAATGTTCAAATATTTGTAGCCGGTTACAGTTAACGGATATCTTCTCTCGAGAATGCGTACGATAGAATGATGTGTGATTTGATGTCTGTAATTAAAGAAAAAATCAGTGAATGGAAAAAAGGATGCAAAAGAAAAAAA